ATTAGTCAGATATTGCACTGAGGATCCTAAGCAGTGCAACACAATCCTCTGAACTCAGGTGGTTAGTTCTGCAGCAGCTTCCCAGGGCTTGTGACTTCAAGGCAGTGATTGTAGAAGATTTTCTGCTTTTAAGAAAAGAACTGGTGAAACATTTGGGGGAGTTATAAATGACAGGCTTGAAACATAATATGATGGGGAAAGGGTGTCAAGACAGAAAACATAAGACAGAAGGACATTTAAAAAAAATCTTTTATGATGTAATTTATTTTACAAGATGTAAAGTCATTTTAAAGTTGTGTTCAAAAATTACATTAGTTGCAGTGAACCTAAATTCCATCTCCCTCACCCTTCTGCTTTTCTACAGCAGCTGGTAATTTATACAGCAAGGTTTCTATTTTGGACACCATCTATAGTAAACACTGAAAGGCATGTGCTTCCTCTTAGGGGAAAGGATGGCCCAAAGGCTAAAGGCATCTTCTCCAATCTGATGCAAGGTCACCCAATGGAAGGGTGATATTTCATAAGACTGGCTAGATATTAGTTGAAATCCAAGATTTCTGGAAGGCACCTAGATGGTGTCTGGTGTTAGAGGTGAACTGAAAGCTTTTGAAATAGAAATACTTGGCTGCCTCAGGACCAGCCATTTTCTCTTGATATACAGTAACTTACCTTAAAGGCTGATCTGAGGATACTATGGAATGTTCTCCAAAGGATGCAATCAATTCTTCTTAGCAATAGATGAGATACAGGATATTAAGTACATCTACTACCTGTGTTTTCCCGAAAGTAAGACCTACTTCGAAAATAATAGCCCTAGCTTGATTTTGGGGGGTGGGTGGGCCATTGCAGCCAGGCCTCCCATCAATCAACCTCTGCCTCACCGCACTGGTCCATTTCCACAACCAAGGGAAATGTCTCTGCAGCTGAAAATGGAGCTCCAGCCTGCATTTAACCATCAGAGACTTTCTGGAAAGGCCTCTGAAGCCAAGATTTAATCCGTAGCTCAGTTTTTGCTGCAGATGCCTTCCCGGAAGGCCACTCATGGCAAAATGCAGGCTGGAACTCCATTCTCAGTTACAGAGGCATTTCCTTCGGCTGCAGAAGAAGTGGGCCAGCTGGGTGGGGCTGTTGGTGCCACAGCCATGAGGTGAGAACATGGAAAAGACACCCCCTGAAAATAAAATCTGGTGCCTCTTTTGGAGGCAAAAAAGACTTATTTTTGGAGAAACACAGTATATATATGTATTGGGTATGTTATTGAAGCCCTCCTTTTTTACAACCTGCTTAAAAGTCTACAAAATCAAGATCAGTACAATCCTTGGGGTTATGATAGCAATTGAGATTTGTTGCTAAGTGACATGGTCATAAAGCACAATGTCACTTGTTTGCGCCATTGATTGATCACAGTTCTGTCAATCCAGGCTGCCATCATTCAATGAAGACTGTACATGACCACGGCAACCTTCTGCCACTTTTCCCATTGGCTTGGGAAGCCAGCAGGGAATATTGGAAATCACAATAATATGACTGAGACAATTGCTGCAAAATTGTAATTGCAAGCAGGACACAAGTACCTAAATTGCAATGAGATGACCATGAGAATGCTGCGATGGTCAGAACTCCAAGGACTGGTCATAAGTCCCCTTCATTCAGCACTTTGCAATTTCAAACAGTCGCTGAATTAATAGATGAAAGTGAAAAAACTACCTGTATATCATTTATGAGTTGGAGAAAATACACTTGATAGTTCCATGCAATCATTTTTAACGTCTAAATTAATAAATCAATAAATCATGAGGATTCATTGCAACGGCACAGGGCAAGGACTCTCATCAGTTTAATATATACTATGCAAACCATTATTCAATGTTAATTGTCTTCATTATGTTTCTTATTTTAATCCCCAAATGTTTACATACTGAGTGAAAGTAATATTGCCCCCATGTATCCCATGGATCTCAATCATTAATTTATAACATCATGAGCTATATTATATTGAACCCTTGTAAAAAATATCATTAGACTAGAAATCCTAACTACTTAATCATGCTCCTCAATAGCCTTATTTTCAATAATTAAAAATATAATATAACTACAATAGTTTTTGTATATTTTATATAACATTTAATAAAATAATTCTGTGAGATTAAACATTGTCAGATTTACATAATATACAGAGTACTGTGGCAATCATAGTGTCTAATGTGTTCATAATGGTACAAATGTCAGGATGGTTAATTAGAGTTCCAAATTAATGCTCTTACAATATGATCCATTTAGACAATTTATATAACTAGGGCTTTTGAAATATTATAGCTACTATTAACACAAAAAATAATTCTCTTTTACAATGAATCCAACCTTTAATCATAAACTTCCTGAGTTTATTTTTATTTCCCAGTATTTAAATAATGCTTAGGATCATCCAACACAGATTAGAGCACTACATGGAAATGGAGATGCGAGATGTTCAAACTGATTGCAGAAAAGGCCAAGGAACAGGAGGCAATTATTTCTGATGCACGCTGGATAATTGCATGAGCCAAAGAATACCAAAAAAGAACCAATATGTTTTTCATTGATTATGTCAACCATGTTAAACTGCGGACTCTGCTTAGGAAAATGTTTGTCACAGATCATCTCATTGTTCTCATGAGAAACCTATATATGAAGTTCAGGTTGGATCTGAGCAAAACAGGCTGACTTTTGCTTGGCAAGGAGTGAGACAAAGCCATATATTCTCCCCTTATTTATTCGGCCTATAAGCCGAATAGATATTGAGAAACTGGATTGGAAGAAGATGTGCAGTTTTAAGACAAAAGGTTTGGTAACCTGTGCTATATTAATGTCACAATTCTGATAGCTGAATATTATATATACAGTATGATTTGCAGGCTCTAGTGATGAAAATTAAAGGAACACAGTGAAAAAAGAAGGGACTAAGACCAAACTAATGACAAGTATAGCAACCACTCTTAAAACTGACAGTGAAGATATTGAAGTGATGGAGAATTTTTGTCTTTTAGGACTGTCTGTCATAAAGAAAGCAGCAGCCAAGAAAACATTGAATATTACTGCTTGGCAGAGTAGCAATGAAGGCCTTGGAAAAGAGATGTAATGTGTCTCTACTGATACAGTTGAGAACTATACAGGCACTGGTTTTCCCCTGACACTGTAGGAAATGGAAAAAAAATAGACTTTTTAAAAACAGCATAGAAAAAGTATAAACGTTTTGAACTTTCATGTAAGAAAAGAGTGCTGAAAATACTATGGTTACTCAGGAAAACAAACAAATGGATCATAGAATAAATCAGATTCTGGTTCTCACTTGAGTGACAAATGACCTGCTCAAATATATACATATGTTTGTGGACATATGCAGCTGTTTTCAGTTATTTCCCCCTCTGAAATATTTGATACTTAATAAGTTATTATAAATTCTTCCTTATTGCATTGCTCCAAATTAATTCTCCACAATAACTTAGCATTTTTCTCCAAGTCCTCCTTATAAAATTATATTTAACAGTACTGAAACCTTGCATTTTCTGAACAATCATATATGTTCTCAGCTTTTAAATACTTGACACCTGTGCTTTTCACTACTGTGGCAGGTCTACAGGTAACACTCCCTGCCCTGAAAGATGGAACAAAACCAGTTTTTGCCTACATACAATGAAAACACTGATGAACATTTTCCTTAAATAAAGATGTTTGTAATTACACAGAAGGCTGCTTTGTACTCCACTAGTCTACAACTGTTTTGCTGACACTCAGGAAACAGTACTTCTGACAGAAATCTTTCCCAACCTTATCCAAACTAGCCATGTTCAAACACAGGATTTATTGGGAGAATTGGCTCTACTCGTGAGCTACAGTTACTGCATTCCTAAGCGCTGATGGGATTCTATCTCATCAGCATCCTTTCACCGTCTTGTTTTCTACCATACTGCAGTAACTGAAGGCAAAACATGGAAAAAAGGGAATGGACTATAAAAAACATGAGCCAGAGTGAATCAGCAAAGGGTGTATCTATTGGACGAATCTGGACCACTTATCTAGTTCTGAGGCATCTGGTTGATGATTGGAGAAAAGAGGATGGTTCATACAATATTTTTCTAGTAAAATCTAATATGGCTACTCTCAAATTTATAAAGAATGATTTTGATAATGAGAATGATAGTGATGATAGCAATAATAGATATATGACAATCATAGAAAAAAGTTCCCAATTTTTGGAAAAAAAGAGTTCTTTCTTCCTTTTGAAGACTTCTTAGGCAGGGAAAATCAGTGTTGTAATTTAGTAATCTTGTGCATGTCTACTGAAATAAATTTCATTAAATTCCATTAAGCTTATGCCCAAATACGTTTATATAACATTGCAACCTAAATAGGATAGAGAATTCACTGTCTCTCAACATAAGATACAGCCATCTATGCATGATATTTCATTTTTGTATGTGATGGGCTGATATTTGACAATAGCTGATATATGTCATGTAAAGACATTCTTAGCACTTGACAGTATTAGATGAATGACAAGTTCTCAACAGTCTGCCAAAACAACAAAGATATGCCAAGAAATCTAAAACATTCTTATTGGGGTTTTTTTGTTTTTGTTTTGCAAAATGTCACCTTCAGAAATTTAAAAGTAAACCTGGCAATGTTCCCTTTCATATTTACATATTTACTTAGCACCTCAATTCCACAAGTGTGAAGAGGTTGTGACTATTACCTTCTATTTTATCCAATTCTGCTTCTCTATATTAATCCCACTGTTTCTAAGCATCACTTCACTTTTATGGATGAGCTGTCCGTGCCTCACACCTCAATTAAGCTTCTCTACTGTATGTCCTCCAGATCTGTTGCAACAACAGCTCTTTGAATTCTCAGCCAGTCTGGAACCTCACAAGATGGAAAAGATTAATCTGAACTATCCCTTGAGAGTTGTCTATTTACTTCCCTCCAGCCACTCATGCCATCTGCCTTTTCTTTTCACCCAGGTTATTCTCTTCTGGTTCAACCTAGCTGCTGCCTCTATTGGTGATGAACACTGTGGAAATCTTTCTTCGGCCAACAATATTACTGGTAAGTAAGTTTCAATGATTTGACTTACTCTCTATTAGACTGACACATTGTCCCACTTGGTGGACAATCATTTTCTGAGAACAGTACAGTAATCACCAAGGACTGGCTGATTTCTGGAATCGGAAACTAGAGGCTATGAAAATATGTTCAGTCCATACTTTTTTGGAATGGATTCTAAGATATCTGGCTAACTCTGCAGCCTTGGTATCTGGAACTATCCCTATTAGCCTGGTTTTAGTAGATATCAATTTTTCATCCATGTTTTTTTAATTGCAAAGATATATTTTACATCATATTGTGTAATGTGAGCTTCCCCAAGCCATCTTTTCACACTTTCAGATTACAATCAGAAATCAGAGTTGGCATCCTCCATAAATTTAGTACTAAAAATCTCATAATCCTCAGACACAATGCCCAATAGCACCAGACTGAGCAAGCATTTACTCAGAGTACATAAACATCTGAGTGGCCCACAGGTAGAGGCCTTAACAACCACTAACAGGCCTATCTATGATTCTCAATATTTGGGAGGTAAACAGAAATAATAAATTAAGGATCATGGATGTTGGTTAGGGAACACTCTTTCTAGTGAAAGAACAATTTGGTTCAAGAAGTGTAAAGAAGAGAATAATTTCTCTCCTCAGAAGGAACTGAAAGCCACAACTAACATTTTGACGAGGAAAATGTTTCTGACGAAGAAGTTGGGGAAAAATTGTGGATGACTATTGCTCTGTCTATTGTCTGTTGAGATTTGGGTGCTAAATTCAGATTCTGCTTTGGAACTGACAATTTGCACTGCAGCCTACCCTGAAATAAATGTTGATATTTTTGTTGTCGCCTGTTTCCAGTAAGGTATACAGGAGCGCTCTCCTGATTAATGTTCCATCCAGCATGCTGGCAGAGTTCCTAACAGAGACCTGCAGCCGGTTTGCTCCAATAATAAAGGCACATGCAGGCATATGGAATCTGGTGAACTGCATTGTTATTAAGAAGATAGGACCAATTATTCACTGTGCCTGAATACAACACACTGAAGATCCAGTCCCAAGTGCCAGTTTTTCGTCATTTTGCCTGCCAAAAATTCCTGATTACCTGCTTCTTCATGCCTCCCCATGTATCTGCAATTAGCACCTGAATCTGAACTATCTGTGCCCTTCTCACGTGCCATTGCTTTCTTTCTCTTAAAACAAGAAACCCTATTTATATTGCATTGGTCAAAATATCTCTGAGGTCCAGGTCTCTTCCGTGTACTACAAATTTCTTATAATATTCATAGGAATTTCCTTTCTTTCTACAAGATTTGATATGTGTGGATATAATCTGAATGAAATATGAAAGAGGGCATAGTTTGGGGGTACATGGCAGCCACACACCTGATCAAATAAAGTCTTGGCAATCAAGAAGGACATGAAGTTCAGCAAAAGTGCTACCTAAGGACTGAGGAGCCTTAAGAGTTTAATCACCATCACTGCTGAACATGTGCTTGATAGCTCTGGGCAAAGCTGATTAAAGTCTCTTTTTTTACCAAGCTTATATGCATCGTGCATAAACGGCACCTGTTAATTTATATGAGTTCATTTGTTAGTAAATTTCTTGCCTAATTAACAAGCACTCTTCATCAGTCTTACCTCTTGGCGTGAATTATCTTTGTTACACCATTAAATCATGAAGAGCAATTTTGTCTGCATGTGAGCGTAAAAGAATTCTGATTTAAGTCATTTTAAGAGAAAGGGAGAACTTGAGGGGAACAGCTGGAATTTGGTCAGACAAGAAATGAGAATGGGGCTGTTGCTCAGCTGTGTCACCCCAATATCTTAAATTTTGTGCCATATCCAACTGAGCTTTATATTTCAACCTAAAGATCATGTTTATTGTTAGTGCATTTGTTGCCAGCATCTCCTGAATCAGATTAATTATTTGTTGAAAAATAGTTACATATGAAGCTGCAGAGAAAATGTGTAGAGCTGTTCTATCGAGTTTTGCAACCAAGGAAAAGCTTAATCTATTTAGCATTTATCTTTATATTTTTAGAACTTGTTATCCTTGTACTTATCAAATATATAAAATATTTTTCTAAAATACATTATTATTACATATAAAATATTTTTGAAACATATTTTATTACATATAAAATATTAATTATTACATATAAAATATTTTTGAAACATATTTTATTGGTTTTTTAATTCTTAGAACAAAGTGCTCAGGACACACCATGGTGTTAGGGTAGTCAAACATCCAAAAATAAAACCATATATACCGTAGGTAACTCAACTCAATACATTCAATGTCCCCTCTCTATTTCCCTCAAATAGCATAATACATTTAAGATCTTCCATTTCTCATTTAAATTTCTATAACTGCTAAACCTGTTTTAAAACTTTGTAAGTTTACAATTACTATAATCAAATTTAACTTTCAATTGACAAGTTATCAATTCAGGTATCCCTTCCAAATATATTCTAATTCTTAATCTCTCACATCCCTCATTTTATCACAAGTCTCATTTATTTCTTCTTCCACTGCATAATACATATCCCAATTAAAATAAAATATTAATCTACCCTATACATATATAATCCATCAATCGATCAATCTAAGATAACAAAATAATATTAAATCTTAAATCATTTCAGTTCATTAAACAAAATTCAAATTTCATCCAATTAATTATCATGCCTTATCACATCTATATTATCAGACAAAAACATCATCTTACTAATTTAAAACATTCAATTAATTATTGAAACAATCCAAATCTAAAAAGCCACCATTTTGTCCATTCCAATACATAGTAATTTTCATCAAAATAAACCTATTATTCCAAAAACTACATTCTTCTTACTTCTAACTCTGAATCTTAATCCTTAAAACAGTCCATAAAGCAACAGTGCCTTTTAATCCATTACACGTAATTTTAAATTTCTCTTTTCAGTCTTATTCTGGCCTTCTTTCTGTGCCAAGCAGGTTTCCATAACCAAGCTTCCCTTTCTGCTGATATATCTCTCTTTATTGCTTGCAATGTCTTTTGGAATGATAGGAATCCCATCCTCTGCATTAGGCATCTATTTCTTTCATCCTTAAAGCTTCTTTGCTTTAAAGTTTCAAGTCTCAGTCTTTGATTCTTCTGATCCTCAAGCTATAGGTGGAATGTTTATAAGCTAAAATAAATTCCTCTTTGATCTCAGTTGTTTCCTCTTCTAGTATATTTTGATTTATAGAATGGTCAGATGTAGTCTGGAGATCAGTTTAAAAGTTTGAAATAAAACTTCTGGTTCTTAATTCTGTAGTAAAGTCTTTCATTGTAGCACATATTTCTGCAGTAGCCTCATAGATCTTTTCCAATATAAGTTTGCAGTTCAATTGTGAATGAGATTTCTCCATTTTAATAGCAGTTGAAGAGAGTCTCTTTTTTTTCTTTTTGTGGAGGCTGTATTTAATGAAAGTTAAGCAGTATTCACCCCCACAATTCCCACAGCTGCATCAGCTTATCTTTTCTCTTCAAAAGTAATTTAAAGGTCAAGTCTATTCTATCTCCAAAGAATAACCAGAAGTTGCAGTATTAAATTTTCACCACTAGATGTCCTCAATAGATTAAAAAAATCTTTTCCAGACATCATTTTTTCCCTTTTTTCTATCTTTTAAAATAAAATGTGGGAAAATAAATAGTCTTCCAGCATAAAATGATAGTACAGCTCTTAAGAAAGAGGTTTTTTTTTGTACCCCAAAGCAAATAAGAATAAAGTATAGTCCTTAAAATTTTGTTCTATTCTTTTGTTCAACGCCTTTCTTCCCAGACATATAAAAGCTGCTTTTTCAAGGCAGAGAAATAATTCCAACAAGGCTCTTACAGGCAAAACAAAAAGCAGGATAGAGTGAAGAGAGGAGCAAGGGAAAAGTCTCACCTGGATTCACCACAATGGTTCTTAATGCTTAGATGTTCTTTGATTTGCGGTTCGAGCGGCTGGGTTATTGGCCATTTTACTGGTCGATCTTCTTCTCCGTCAGCCCTCAGAGTTGGCTCAAACAGCTGGAGGAGCCACCGCTCCTCCGCAGTCGATCGAAGCCTCGTCAACAGAAATCACACCCTCCAGGGTGACTTTCGATCCACATAAGGGTCTACCGGTGGAGAGAAACTAGCTGACGAGGAGACGAGTCTCTTTATGTGACTAGAGGCGCCGCGATCTAGAACCGGAAGTCATATATAAAATATTTATAAGTGTGCTTTATATTTGCATTTTGGATACTTTACTTATTTTAGGGTGACCATAATCAATTTTAATTAACTATGTCACCTCTTTCCCGATCATAAACTTTTCTCACAAATACCAGGCATTCACCCAAAATGGCTCTTTGAGCCATTAAACAGGCAGCTGCTCACAGGAGGATCAAAAAAGAAGGCCCAAGATACTAGTACAATCTATGACAGTGTGCCAGAAATTGCTTAAGCAAATCACCTGTTGATCTAAACCTGAATAAGTCTGTGAGTGAGGAAGAAGAAAAAAGAGAAAGACAGGTTTTGGGGATGTAATGGTTCTATAATTACAAGAATCAGTTTTTCTGTAGTGGTTTAAAGGGTCAGTCAAGAAACTAGGAGACTGTGAATTCTAGTCCTAATAACATGTAGATATTTTTTAACATATATATACTTTTTAACATGTAGATACTTTTAATTATACAAAGTATCATAGTTACTGAGTTAAAAACCCTGCGTTACTGTATGCAGGGTTTTGGAGTCAAAGTTTCATTGAAACAATGCACACTACCTTATTCCCCCTCTTCTCTACCTCTGATTGAAAACAAAAAAGTTTTTGCCTCTCCTGCCAGCTCTGCTATGCTTCTAATCAAGAATGTCTCCAAAACCAATATAGCCATTTTTAAAATTCATTTGAAACTTGAAACATAATCCATTTAGTGCCAGAAAAAAGTAGTTTTCCCCATCTTAGTGGCTTTAGAGTGCTGAGTAACCAATCCTACTATCCTCAGCCAGCAAGTATTGC